GTTAGCCATCTGGATGTCTTCTTTTAAAAAGTGTCTATTCACGTCTTTTGCCCATTTCTTCACTGGATTATTTGATTTTTTGGGTGTTGAGTTTGATAAGTTATTTATAGATTTTGGATATTAACCCTTTATCTGAGATGTCATTTGCAAATATCTTTTCCCATTCCATTGGTTGCCTTTTAGTTTTGCTGATTGTTTCTTTTGCTGTGCAGAAGGTTTATCTTGATGAGGTCCCAATAGTTCATTTATGCTTTTGTTTTCCTTGCTTCTGGAGACATGTTGACTAAGAAGTTGCTGCCACCAAGGTCAAAGAGGTTTTTGCCTTATTTTTAATGTTTAAAGATAAAGATAAGATAAAAATAATGTTTTAAGATAGAGAAATAGTCAGAAGACATGGACAGACATTTTTCCAAAGAAGAAATACAGATGGATAACGGACACTTGAAAAGATGCTCAGCATCACTCATCATCATATGAGAAATACAAATCAAAACCACCATGAGATACCACCTCATACTTGTGAGAACGACTAAAATTAACAAGTCAGAAAGCAACAGATATTTGTAAGGATGTGGAGAAAGGGGAACTCTCTTGCACCGTTGGTGGGAATGCACACTGGTGCAGCCACTCTGGAAAACAATTATAGAGGTTCCTAAAAAAGGTCTTCTCTTCCATGGGCAATTGTTTGGTGCCTTAATGGAAGGTCTTTCATATTTTGATACTTTAAAAATCTTAGGCTTTTCCTAAAATTTTCCAACAAAACTTACCGTAGCCAAAGTAGTAATTTCTTTAACCATCTCTCCAACTAAAGCATTTTTCTTTTTTGTGCAATAATCAAAGCTGCTTTATTTTTTTTTCAATATATGAAATTTATTGTCAAATTGGTTTCCATACAACACCCAGTGCTTGTATTCCATACAATCCCCATCACCCACCCTTCCCTCCCTCCCACCCCCCCATCAACCCTCAGTTTGTTCTCAGTTTTTAACAGTCTCCTATGTTTTGGCTCTCTCCAACTCTAACCTCTTTTTTTTTTTCCTTCTCCTCCCCCATGGGTTTCTGTTAAGTTTCTCAGGATACACATAACAGTGAAACCATATGGTATCTGTCTTTCTCTGTATGGCTTATTTCACTTAGCATCACACTCTCCAGTTCCATCCACGTTGCTACAAAAGGCCATATTTCATTCTTTCTCATTGCCACGTAGTATTCCATTGTGTATATAAACCACAATTTCTTTATCCATTCATCAGTTGATGGACATTTAGGCTCTTTCCATAATTTGGCTATTGTTGAGAGTGCTGGTATAAACATTGGGGTTCAAAGCTGCTTTAAAGTGGCCCAAGTTAAAAGCTCAGATCCTGTTAAAAATTGTTTAGAATTGTTTTGTTGGGCATTTGATTCTGGCTCAGTTACTAGTTTTGTCCATTTTGTTTTTGATTGTTGAGAGGAAATGTTCATCAAAATTCCTATGTGTATCCTGAAAACGTCTCTAACCACTTTGTTTCTGGCTTTGTTGTACTACAACAAAGTGCAATTGCTGTTCATCATGAATTTTGTAACATATGTTGGTCTGGTCTCTTTCTCTTTCTCTGTTCTTGTCATGGAGTTCACCTGGTGATCTCCATTCATTCTGTATCAGTATTATGCATTCATTTCAAAGTTAAAAATTTGTCCATATTGATTTTTAAACCAAAAATTAATTTGATTATATTATGAATAAAATAATCAGTATTTACATTTAATTTACCACCTATAATGTAGGTAGGCATTACTGTGATTCGTACTGTCTACATCCAGTATTCAAACACAAGTATTGCCTCAGTGAAAGAAGATTACTCAAACAGAATCAATCTATTGACAGGACTATACCTCGGTGACAGGTTTATGGCTGACACTAGAAACAATGCATACGTCCCACATTTGCATTGCAAAACAGCAATAATATGTAATACAATATTCAAGGGAAATTTATTTCCACCTAAACAACAAAGCTGTGTTTCATGGTAAAATATTTTACACTGCTTCAGCTTTTAAATTTAAATTAAAGCTAATTATAACTAAATTAAAATTCAAACTTCCTTTTCTCAGGTACACCAGCTACATTTCAAGTGCTCAATAGCCACACATGACTAATGCTTACCATACTGAACACTGAAATTTCTAGAAAATACTCAAATATTTGGAACTCAAACACATACGTCTAAATAACCCATGAGTGAGAAAAAACATCACAAAGAATATAGAAAATATTTTAAACTGATAGTGAAAACGGAATATACACAAATTTGTGAGATGTAGATACACATGTGTAGAGGGAAATTTTATAACTTCCTATCCTTATGTTAGAAAACAAGAATTTTTAATAATTTATAAGATATTGTAGATAATACATTGTAGAGACTCAAGATATTACTATCTCCTGAAGAATATTGACTTTGTTGTAGCAGGCACTTAAATTACTGGTGGATCGGGGCGTCTGGGTGGCTCAGTCGGTTGAGCGTCTGGCTTCAGGTCAGGTCATGATCTCACGGTTTGTGAGTTTGAGCCCCGCGTCGGGCTCTGTGCTGACAGCTTGGAGCCTGGAGCCTGTTTTGGATTCTGTGTCTCCCTCTCTCTCTGCTCCTCCCCTGCTTGTGCTCTGTCTCTATCTCTCAAAATAAATAAATGAACATTTAAAAAAATTACTGGTGGATCACTTTGGCTTTGAGAAGGCTTGGTTTTACACATTCCTAGGAAGGGACTACTTTGAGCTTGGTCTTCTTTTATTTTATTTTATTTTTATTTTTATTTTTATTTTTTTAATATAAAATTTATTGTCAAATTGGTTTCCATACAACACCCAGTGCTCATCCCAAAAGTTGCCCTCCTCAATGCCCATGAGCTTGGTCTTCTTTTAGAGCAAATCCCTTTGCCCTGATGTGGTTTTTACTCCAGAAACATGACCCTTTCAGTATCGCCATGGAATGCTTGGTGAACTGGAACCTCAGATTCCATCTTTGCTGCTATCAGTACTGTGACCAATTCTTTCAGGCTTCCAGAAAAAAATTTCTTCTAGACAGTTTGGGGATTACAGTTCCCTGTAGTGTCTGCCTGCATTTGGTCACTCCCCAGTGCCTTCGAGCAACTGTTGTATAATTATTATTATTTTGTATTTTCTACATAGTTTTTCAGTGTTATTACAGGAGCGTTGGGAGCTGGAAACAACCCCTGATACTTTTAACAGCTGCTTGGACCCAGCGAGGGAGGAAACAACCTAGTGTGCACTGAGCTCTTCTGGTTGTCCACATCCCCATTTTTCATGCTTTGTTCAGTGTAGAGATGTTTTTAGAAAGGCACAAATTCTGAAGCTGGCGATTTCACAGCCTCGGCCAAGACAACACTCTGTCTTCAGCCCACCCCCACCTCCACCCACATCACTTTTTTTCTTACTGGTTCACAGACTGTGGAGTTTCCAGAACATATCCACACACGTCTTCCCCCATTGTCTGAAGCTGAGGGAGCGATAGTGCCCCATCTATCCCTTCTCCTGAAATCTTGTGGGACTTATCACCGCTGATTTTTAATCATAAAGGAGAAAAGAACCCACTGTATTTGATGTAATTAAAACCAATTTCTTTAGGATTTTTATTTATTTTATTATTTTATTTTTCTTTTTTCAAGGATTTTTACTGGATAACGTGTTTTGAGTAACTTGCCATTTAGACTCAGTGAATGAGGCTGTCATTTGGTCAATGTATTTTCCTTTTTTTAAATTTTTTTTTATTAAAATTTTTTTTTCAACGTTTATTTATTTTGGGGACAGAGGGAGACAGAGCATGAACGGGGGAGGGGCAGAGAGAGAGGGAGACACAGAATCGGAAACAGGCTCCAGGCTCTGAGCCATCAGCCCAGAGCCTGACGCGGGGCTCGAACTCACGGACCGCGAGATCGGGTCAATGTATTTTCTGTTATGAAATTAACAAAGCTGACAGTTAAAACAAGATCACTTAAAGAAATTAATCTTCTAATGGAAATGCAAATGATTTTAGCTTTCACCCTGAAGAATGGATGCCTGAGAATAACAAAGGAAATATAAAAATGTAGACTGACATATTATACACAAAGCCTCTGAAATGAAATCAATATTTTATTCATAAGAAAGGAAGAAAAGTAGGAGACAAGAACAGAATTGAAAATCCTGACATAGATCTTACAGAATATGAAAACGTATCATATGATCAACGTGCTTCAGTTCAGTGGGAAATTGATGGCATATCTAATAAATGGTTCTGGCACAAAGACTTAAGTATGCACCCCCAAATAAGTCTTGTTGGGCCCTGAGACACTTTTCTGAATATTCTGGCAAAAGAAACGCTCAAACTTTCTTAGAGGTCCATTACGTCTGGGTTAGAGAGGTGTCCCGGCCTCCACACTGCGAGATGTAGTCCGCGGGCATCTGGTTGTAGAGACTTCACCATTGGACGAAACCAAACAGACCTGACGCTGTGTCCTCTGATCTCTGACCGCCCTCCAGCACTTCCCACCCCTCCCAGATGAAGGTAACTGGAGACCCTCTGTCACACAGCTTGAAGGGAGGAAAAGAGACTAGGGGCGGGTATGTTGCTCCAGTCTGCTCCAATTCTGCTTCCAACAGTTGGTCAGACTCTCCAGAAGCATCTAGAACCTCAAAGAAGCTGAGGTGCACCTGAGGCGCACCTATCTCCTTATGCAGCTAGATGGCCAGAGCCAGACCCCATTCTGCTCTCTTCTCCATGCGCAGCAACAGCCCTCCAGAAAGACGCCCGCGCACTGCAGAGTTCTCCCCTCCACCTGGCATGCTACTCCCTACAGCGTAGAAGCCATTCAACCGCCCCGGAAGGTGTGATGAAGGCCCCCGGGGGGTTCGAGCTGGGCACTCCGGACCGCACCCGCGGATCAGGAGAGTGGGATGGCCAAGGACGCACGGGCACGGAGAGGCCGACAGCTGGCCACGGAGGCTGAGGCCCGGCCGAGGCTCAAATGGGCTCCCTCTTCAGCAGACGTCTGTAAACTTCCTCCGATTCCTTCTGGATCTGGCACAGACCCTCCCGCCAGGGCTCCGCGCCGGGCGCCTCCTCTGAGCCGCTCCCCCCGGGCACCTGCTTCTCCTGGCCGTCTCCGCGCAGACCGTTCCGCTGACAGTAGCGGTAGGCGCGGTTGCTGAAGTGCCGGTGGTTGTTCTCCCACAGGATGCAGTTGATCTGCCCCAGGAGCTCCCGCAGCTGCGCTTCCTGCTCCGCGCCGCCCGTCGCGTTGTTGAAGGCGCAGTGGCGCCGTGAGCACTGCCGGTCCAGCCGGGCCAGGGGCTCGTTGTCGGTCTCCCGCACGTACTGCTCCAAGGAGCCCCCGTCCAGGTCCTCCTTGCGCGTGAACACCAGCACCGTGTGGGCCAGCACGCCCATCCCGAAGGCCTCCTGGAGGCGCCGCACCGCCCGCCGGTCCTCTTCCGTGTAGCGGCCCAGCTGCGTCACCAGCAGCACCGCGTGCGGCCCGGGGGCGGAAAAGACGACCGCCTCGCACACGGCCTCCAGCGGGGCACACGGGGACAGGATGTCGGGGGTGTCGATCACCTCGAGCTCCAGGCCGGCCCAGTCGCGGCTGGCCCTCTGCAGGGCCCGGGTCACCGGTTGAGCGCTGAGTTTAGACTGGAACTCTTTCCTGCCCAGGATGCTGTTTCCCGTCGCGCTCTTCCCGTTGCCGGCTTTCCCCACTAGGAGGAGCCTCAATCTCCGGGGGCTCGGTGGGGCCTTCCCCAGACCTGGAAGCGCGAAACAAAGCAGAGGGAGCTGGGGTTAGAGCCGCGTGGCTGGGAGCTCCCTGACCCGGGCAGGGCGTCGGCGGGGTGGGGGGAGAGCGGAAGACCAGCCTCTGCACCGGAGACCTGCGGGGGGAGGGGGACGGGGGAGGCTCACGTTCTTTCTTGCCTTTTTAAAGCCTTTTTTAACAAGTGTGGTAAAAAGACAATGTAAAAAATTATAGAATATAACAAAATTCATCATTGTACCCAGTTTGAGGTGAGGCGCTCAGTGCATTCACATCATGTGCAATCATCACTGTGCACCTCAAGAATTTTTTTTATCATCCCAGACTGTCCTGATGAAACCACAACTCCCCATTACTCCCTCCGCACTAATTCCTGGTGACCTCTAGTGTTCTTTCTGCGTCTAGGAGTCTGACCATTCTAGGTAGAACATGCGAGTGGAATATTGCAGGATTTGCTTTTTTGTGTCTGGCTTCTTTCATTCAGCATAACGCCCTCAGATTCACCCATGTTGTAGCACGTGTCCGGACTGCCTTCCTTTTTAAGGCTGGATCATACCCCATTGTAGGTTTGTATCATATTTTGTTTATTCATAAACATATATGAACATTTGGGTTGTTTCCACCCTTTACTATTGTGAATAATGCTGCTGTGAACATCAGCGTACAAATGTCTGAGTCCCCGGCTCTCAGTTCTTTTGGGTATCCACCCAGAAGGGGAATTGCTGGATGGTGTGGTAGAATACCACATTTTTATGGTTCGGTTTTGACATTTCTTATCAGGGTCATCTGTTCTCACCCAGATGGGAATTAGCCCAGTATGACTATGGAACCCTGGGCTTCCCTAAGTCTCCCTGATTGGAGATCCTTCTCAGTAAGAGCAGGAAGAAAAAGAAACACGTGACCTCATGCGTCTGACCATATCACCTTCTTCAGCTTTTGTGGCAGAGAATGTTGGGAGTGTGGGACCACCTCAACCCACCCCCAGGCTCCAAGTGCAGAAACACCCTGCGGCCACATTCTTATTCAGCAGCCTTGAAGTCTGGGTTGGACATTCTCACCCAGCAGAATACCAGAACCATGAGCTGAGAGACACTTGGAGATGCCAATTTAATATCGAGAAACCTAGTGTCAAGGTTCTTGGATTCCTGGGGCTGAGCACCAGGAAGGGAATTAATTCCCTTCTGACCTTTCAGATCTGAGACCCAGAGCACACAGAGAAATGCCAACTAATAAACGGTTTCCAAGTCTGTTCCCCCATTGAAGATAGTGATGTGTCTCAACAGCAGAGCCCTGAGCCTCCTGAGGGGAGGATGGACACTGACTTCCTCAGAATCTCTTCAGCAATGACATGTTTTTTCTGCTGCCTGCCACCCAGGCCATGCTGACCCAGCAGCCAATTCCGACCGAATGGCTTTGACTCCCTCCAGCTTCCCCCAGCTGACTTGAAAGGAATTTGAGTGAATGGATGAGGGTTTCAAGGAAGCATGGAACATTCACCTCTGCCCTCCCAGCCAATGAAAAGCTGGGCAAAGATAGCAAACCCTGTCTCTGCACACGCCTGGGACCAGAGCACACCACTGGAATTTAAATATACCACTTGAGCGCTGGAGAGGATTTTTCAAGTAATATTTAACCTTGATTGCTGCAAGAATAGGTAAATCGGTGCCTGGGTGGCCCAGTCAGCTGGGCGTCCGACTTCGGCTCAGGTCATGATCTCACACTCTGTGAGTTCGAGCCTGCTTCAGATTCTATGTCTCCCTCTCTCTGACCCTCCCCCATTCATGCTCTGTCTCTGTCTCAAAAATAAGCATCAAAAAAATTTTAAAAAAAAAAGAATAGGTAAATCGGGTATCAGCACTTCTATGGGTAATTTGCTTTGGTGGTTTATTAATAAGGCTCTCTCCCAGTGGCTCAGGCCATTGAAGTTCATGTAGTAAAAAACTGTTTGTGTTAAAATACATAATGAATCACAAATAATTTCTTCTGGGCAGGAAATTGGATGGATTTCCAGCATTCCCAGATTCTGTCTGCCCAAGGTAGATGGCAAAGTTGAGCCCTTGAAAGTTAAAAGCCTGGCCCTGATGCAGTAGCTTTTGGAGAGAACCCCCTCCAGAAGGCCAAGCCCAGTTCTGAGGCAGCAGCCAAGTACATCCTGTCTGCTCACATGCTGCTTTGCAACCCGTATGACCCTGAGAGCTCTCCCATCTGATCCGGCCAAGCACCTGCATGGGGTCTATTGGCTGCAGAGCCTCGGGCTCCAGTGAGCTGTTTGGTCACACCGACTATCAGCACATCCTACCTGAGGAAGAAAGCCCAGAATGCACAGACCCCTTTCTTTGGGCCTGGCACAGAGATTTAGTAAAGGGGGCGGCTGGCACTGTGTCTCCCTCCCTTCATTTCCCCCACTGTGCCCATCAGGGCCCTCTCCGTCTTATTTGGCTGCAGTAAAGGAAGACCCCCCCCCAACCTAAAGCCCCCTTGATGGCAGCCCAGGTGGGCAAATCTCTACAGGGATGGACCCCGCTGCCTGTCCCAGTGCACCACCTGTCATTAAACATCCCCATCCACACCTCTCTCAAGCTCATTTCTGCTAGAAAGTAGTTTACCTCCTATAACGTCTTGTTTAGGATCCTGACACAGTGCTCCTGCAGGATTCTCCTGGACAATCTCTTCATATTCTTCCTTCTTTATCTAGAGAAAACCATAATATGTCTTATTGGTTTTTCAACAGTTTTAAGAGGCACCTGACTTTTGCCTTTCTCTTGCCAGAAGCTTAGGTTTGAGGGGAGCAGCCTGAATGAGGAGAGAGAGGAGGGCGTCTGAGGGGTCTCTCCTTCCTTTGCAGACCCTGTTTTCTCTCCTCTCCCCCCATCCCTACTGTGGTCTCTATTGGCAGTGTAAGAGACTTCATGGAGAAAGGTGAACTGTGAACTGGCCTGACAGCCGAGGGGGCAGGTAGTATTTGGAGAGACAGGGTCCTAGAGCCGTTCTGTGAGGAGAGAAAAGAACAGAGAGCAGAGGCAGGTCTGATACTGGGTCCTGAGAGCAGTGGGAAGACTGGTGTGGCCACAGTGTATCTGGAGGGCATGGGCAGGAAGTCGTGGCGAGGGACTGGCTGGGGGATAGGGGCAGGGATCTTGGGCCAAAAAGGGTAGTCCAGGCCTGACCTTTGGGGAAGGCTTGGCAGTTAGGAAGTTAGGATTACAGAGGGCTTACAGGTTGGTGGCCAGGTTCTGCTGTGAGGACAGGAATGGGACCATCAGGGTGCGGGGCAGAGTCCTGCTGGGAGCCAGGAGACCGCAGTGCTCATCTCCAATGGCCATCAGTTGGTCACAGTGGATGGTCACACTGCCTGGGCCTTATTGTCCCTATAAGTGTGAATGCTAGGCCTGAACTAAATGTCCCTGAGGTCTCCTCCCCTGTGGGAAGGGCCATGCCACTCTATCCAGGAACTTCAGGCATCCTTCTGAGGAGAGCATGTAACCTCGCTCAGTGCATCCTGCCTCATGGACTAACACAGTTCCCTATGTCAGGGGCCCATCAGCCTATAGCTGCTTGATATTCTCTGTGGAGTCAGGGAGGAAACTGCATGGCTCCAGGACTGTTTTTCCAGAACATGTAGGACTCTCAGAGACACAGTCAGATGAATGTTGCCAGACAAAGGCTGTGGGGTGTGGGGAGACCCAGCTACAGGGGGCCCTGATAGGCATGGTTTTCCCATTGCCACAACATCCTCAGAAAGTCATTGTACTCTGTTAACCTGGCAAATGACTTCAGTCCTGCCCTTATCCTGGGAGCTGCCCAGCGGGAGGTCAGTGTGGCCCTTGCTGTATGGTTGTTGGCTTTATTTAGCAATGTCACCTCTGAAGGGCCAGGCTCAAAACAGTCACAGTCCAGTAAGTCATGTGACTTCAGGAAAAGAGAGTGACCAGGTCAGGGGAACAGCTGTCCCCAGCTATCCCTAGCAGGGATACAGCATTTGCCTATCCAAAGGGCTTCTGGAACAAGGAGATTAGTGCTCCTATCTCTGTACCTGGAGACCCCTCAACCTCTTTGTCCTTCGCTTCCTTACATCCTTGGTGGAAACTGAGGCAGTACTTCACCAGCAAAATCTCGTGACTCCTTTAGAAAGAAGGGGAGGCTCAGTGGAAAGTAACAGCAGGGTGGGTAGGTGAGCTGGGTGAGGAGCACAGGTAGAAAATTTGCACTGTGTGCCCCAGCCTTGCACCAGCAAGTAAGTCCGCGCCCCAGGCCTCGCTGCTTTGCCCCTGCCTGGCCAGCACCTCACATGCCTGCCTCGCTGCACTTGGTAGGTTTTGTCTCCAGCACAGCGCATAAGCAGCTATGTCCCCCCACTTAACGCTTCTCAGGAGGAGAGTCAACTCGCCAAAGCATCTTGCTCAGAGCTAAACAGTGAATTTGAGCAGGGAACAGAGTTCTTCTGACTCTTATTCATGGATGGGTTCGTACCACTGTAAACGCACACTGCATGCACTACACACGTGCACTCACAAACACAACACACACCCACACACTCACAAACACACACCCACACAAACACAGCACACACTAATATACTTGCAAACATACACACAAACACAACACACACCCACACACTCGCAAACACACACCCACACTCACAAACATTCACACAGACTCACAAACACAACAAACACACACACACTCAAATACAACCACACATAGTCACAAACAGCACACACCCACACTCACAAACACAACACACGCCCACACACTTGCAAACATACACACACTCACAAACTTGCAAACACACACTCATAAACACAGCATACACCTATACACAAACATACACACACACAAACGTGTCACACATAACACTGCACACATACAATCAGAAAACTCCACACACATATTCACAAATACATAAACACATAAACACACACACAAAACACACAAACATAAAACACCCACATACACACAGAAACAAATACACAACATACACTGTCACACAAACACACATAAATACACAACATACACAGTGACGAAAATACACAGATACACATCAACATAAACATACACATCAGCACATCACACACACTCCACCCATACACATACACTCCCAAACACAGCACATACACAAACACAAACATACAACACACACAGAAACATACATACACAACACACACACACGCACACAAACACACACTCTCACTCACTCAGACTTACCACTCCGTCAGCCGTAGAGGAAGAGGAATGGTCATGTTTTCTGTCTCCTGGGTCCGTGCTGTCTTGTGAATTCTTTGTTTCTCCTTTTAGGGACGACACATTGCAGGCTTCTGGGGACTTTGACTGGAAGAGGTAGAGGAAAGTGTCTATGGCATATGAATATATAGAATACATTGCTTATAGTTTTCAGTAAAATGGGATCAGAAAGCTCAGCTCAAGCTTTGCTTGAGCTTTGCTCAAGAAAGAGCAAAGTCTGCTGTGTGGGGAACAGGAAGTGGGTGAGAACACCCAGGGCCAAGCCCTTCTCAGTCAGAACACGTGCTGTTTGCACTTTGTCTGCGGCTTTGGTAATATAAACAGGAAAAACAAGAACATCAGTATTGTTATTATTTTTGTCCTGAACCAGGATAACTCAGAGGCTTAGAAAGAAGCAGCAGACCCTTCAGAAAATTTTGTGCCAGGGGCCTGATTTTTTACTGATCTCCTCCCTTGTTTGCAAGTTGCCTGTCTCCTGCACGTAGCAATGCCTTCGCCATTGTGGTGGACACCCATTGTCTCTTCCTCCCTCCTTAACTCCAACTTCCTTTAAGTATTTTCTCTCAGGTCGAGACCTGCAGACTGGAACTGCTGGGTCCTGGGTGGCACATCCTCAGAGATTGGAGCTACTCCACTGGCTCCAGTCAGCTGACTGTGGGCCATGGGACTTGTCAGCTCCAAAACAATTGAGCCAATCCCTTGTAATAAATCTCTTTATGTATGTGTGTATACACACACACACACACACACACACACACACACGTCTGACAATCCCCAATTCTGTGCCATATCTGAGTCTGGTCATCCCTGTGTCTCCAAACTGGACTTCCTCTTTCCTGTTAGCACACCTTGTGTGGATGTGGAAAGCTGGATGGGATCTATCTTATATTAGGAATTAACATAGCTAGAGCTGCGGGTGAGGTTTTGTATTCATCTGTCTACGAGTTGGGCTCTGTTCATATTTGCTGAAGCTGTAGAGCTGGCTTCCTCTAACGTTCCTGTCTGTTCTCACTGTTGTTGGTGGGTTTCCCTAGGAAGCCCTTCTTAAATAGAGTTTCTATCTTGCTGTTTTTTCAGGTTTTTAAAAATTTATTTTTATGTTTATTCATTTTTGAAAGACAGAGCACAAGCAGGGGTGGGGCAGAGAGAGGGGGAGACACAGAATCCGAAGCGGGCTCCAGGCTCTGAGCTGTCAGCACGGAGCCTGACGTGGGGCTCGAACTCACGAACTGCAAGATCATGACCTGAGCTGAAGTCGGACGCTTAACCAACTGAGCCACCCAGGTGCCTCTGTTCTATCAGCTTTAACTCACTGTTTTTATACTGAAGCCCTGCTGATGGGGTGGTAGGAGTGGGTGTGGGAGGCATGATCTTAAAATTAAATCCCACTCTCTCAGTGGGTCTGCAACCCTGGGTTGTGATCATCACAATTTTTTAGCTTTTCCTTCTGTGTCCCCACTTTGGGTGATCCAGGTGATATGGCCACTTCCCACCTTTTTCTCCTCATTTCACTGTCACCTCTCTCTTCTCTCATCTGCTCTGGCCTTGATGGACTTACTTTAGTCACTTGAATGCTTCATCCATCTTTTTTCTCAGGAACTGCTGTGAAATTCTTCCTTCTTGGGGAAGATATGCTAGTAATAAAAAGATTTTGATAAACATTTTGGAGGCTGAATGGAAATTTGGAAGTTTAAAATATTCACTGTTAGGGTGCCTGGGTGGCTCAGTCAGTTGAGTGCCTGATTCTTGATTTTGACTCAGGTCATAATCTCCTGGTTCATGGGATCGAGCCCTGCATCAGGCTCTGTGCTGACAGCGTGAAGCCTGCTTGGGATTCTGTCTCTCCCTCTTCCTCTTCCCCTCCCCTGCTTGCTCTCTCTTTCTAAAATAGAAATAAAATAAAATACAATGTTTACTATTCATACTATTTTAAATATTTATCTAGAGGAAATATACATTAAAACCATAAAAGACAAACAAATAGCATGTATAAAAAATATAAGGTGGCTATAAAATCATTATTTATAAATGCTATGATTATTACCTGGGAAAATCAAGAGAATAAACCATATAACATGCTCCTAGAAGAGAATAAACCTATAACCATGCTCCTATAAACAATAAAAGACCTTAATAAGTTGATGGATGCAAAATTAAATAAAAACCATAAAAACTGACTCACATAAGCCAATTATGTTAACTTAACAATAGCCAATTATACATAACTTGTGAATTAAAAAATAACAACAAAAAGTAAAATGCCTAAGAATAAACTTGAAAATTGTGTGAATGTTCCATATAAAGGAAACTTCTGACACTGTGGAGCAAATAGAACTCTCACATGATGTTTAGTGAAAATGCTCATTGGTAGAACTCTTCTGGAAAAGTCTGTAGTATCTAGGAAACCTGAATATTACACATAGCTAATATCGAGCTGTTCTACCCCAAGGTACATACCCAACATAAATATGTGCTTCTGTTCTGCAAAAGGTAATGTCTGTGATATTTATAGTGGTGGCACTTAGAATAACAAAAAAATGGAAACAATGTAAATGCCCATCAACTTAACTATTCTCATGACAAAAAAAGAAAGAAAAGAAAAATGGTAACCAAGTGAGGTGGTGGATATGATAATTAGCTAGATTATGATGACTATTTCACAATGTATGCCTATATCAAATCAACAACTTGTATACCTTAAATATATGTAATTTTTATTTGTGAATTATATCTGAATAAAACTAGAAAATAAAATAAAGTAAAATAGCTGAAAAACGGTTTTAAAATGAAAAAGCAGGGGCGCCTGGGTGGCGCAGTCGGTTAAGCGTCCGACTTCAGCCAGGTCACGATCTCGCCGTCTGTGAGTTCGAGCCCCGCGTCAGGCTCTGGGCTGATGGCTCAGAGCCTGGAGCCTGTTTCCGATTCTGTGTCTCCCTCTCTCTCTGCCCCTCCCCTGTTCATGCTCTGTCTCTCTCTGTCCCAAAAATAAATAAACGTTGAAAAAAAAATAATAAAAAAATAAAATGAAAAAGCAGGGGCGCCTGGGTGGTTCAGTCAGTTAAGTGTCCGACTTTTGATGTCAGCTCAGATCTTGATCTCAGAGTAGTGAGTCCAAGCTCCATGCTGGGTGGGTGTGGAACCCACTTTACAAACAAACAAACAAAGAAATAAAAATTGAAAGAGCATAAGTAACATAGCCTACATTAATTGGGTTAATTATACAGGTTATATATTCATTCACAAATTATAAATTGTATGTATTTAAATTGGGTTATATTCACACAATAAAATACTAATAGTGAGAATGCACAATTTGTTGCTACTTATTATGATATGGATAAATCTCAAACATAATGGTAAGCAAAAAATGAAAACAGAAACAAAAACCAGATACAAAAGAAATACATAGTACATAATTCCATTTATATTAAGTACAAGGACAGCTAAAATGAATCTATACTATTAGAAGTTCAGCTAGAAGTCATCTTTGGAGAATAATAGGGGGACTTCTGGGATGTTCTGTTTCTTTATCTGAGTGCTGGTTACACTTTATGTTACTATAGATCATAAGGGACCCATTATTGTTTCTGAATATTAAAGCATTTTAAAAATAATGACATTGGGATTCCTGGGTGACTCAGTTGGTTAAGTATCTGACTCTTGATTTCTGCTCAGGTCACGGTCTTAGTTCCTGAGATCAGCCTTGCATTGGGCTCCAAACTGATGGTGCGGAGCCTGCTTGGGATTCTCTCCTTCTCTCTCTGCCTCTCCCCCACCTGAGTGTGTGCTCCTCTCTCTCTCTCTCTCTCTCTCTCTGTCTCTCTCTCAAAGTAAGGGTGCCTGAGTGGCTCAATAGGTTAAGCATCCGACTTTGGCTCGGGTCAAGATCTTGGGGTCCATGAATTTGAGCCCCGCTTCAGGCTCTGTGCTGACAGCTCAGAGCCTGGAACCTGCTTCATATTCTGTGTCTCCCTCTCTACCCCTCCCCTGCTCGTGCTCTGTCTCTGTCTCCTTCAAAAATAAACTTATCACAGGATACAAAATTAATGTACAGAAATAAGTTGCTTTCTTATACACTAATAATGAAGCAACAGAAAGACAAATAAACTGATCCCATTCACGTGCTCATGGATTGCAAGAATAAATATTGTTAAAATGTCAATACTACCCAAAGCTATCTACATATTCAATGCAATCCCAATCAAAATTGCACCAGCTTTGTTCTCAAAGGTAGAACAAGCAATCCTAAAATTTGGTGGAACCACAAAAGACCCCGAATAGCCAAAGTAATTTTGAAGAAGAAGACCAAAGCAGGAGGAATCACAATCCCAGACTTTAACCTCTACTACAAAGCTGTAATCATCAAGATAGCATGGTATTGACACAAAAACAGACACATAGACCAATGGAATAGAATAGACTTCAGAATTGGACCCACAGAAGTATGGCCAACCAATTTTTGACAAAGCAGGAAAGAATATCCAATGGTAAAAAGACAGTCTCTTTAACAAATGATGCTGGGAGAACTGGACAGCAACATGCAGAAGAATGAAACGAGACCACTTTCTTCACCATTCACAGAAATAAACTCAAAATGGATAAAGTACCTGAAGGTGAGACAGGAAACCATCAAAACCCTAGAGGAGAAAGCAGGAAAAAACCTCTCTGACTTCAGCTGCAGCAATTTCTTACTTGACACATCTCTAAAGGCAAGGGAATTAAAAGGAAATATGAACTATTGGGACCTCCTGAAGATAAAGCTTCTGCACTACAAAGGAAACAATCAACAAAACTAAAAGGCAACCAACAGAATGGGAAAAGATATTTGCAAATGATATATGAGACAAAGGGCTAGGATCCAAAAACTATAAAGAACTCACCAAAGTCCACACCTGAAAAACAAATACTCTAGTGAAGAAATGGGCAGAAAACATGAATAGACACTTCTCTAAAGAAGACGTCCAGATGGCCAACAGGCACATGAAAAGATGCTCAACATCACTCCTCATCAGGGAAATACAAATCAAAACCACACTGAGATACAACCTCACGCCAGTCAGAGTGGCCAAAATGAACAAATCAGGAGACTATAGATGCTGAAGAGGATGTGGAGAAACGGGAACCCTCTTGCACTGTTGGTGGGAATGCAAACTGGTGCAGCCACTCTGGAAAACAGTGCGGAGGTCCCTCAAAAAATTAAA